CGACACGACAAAGCTCACTTTAGAAAATCAGTAAACAAGAAGCTCGTCTGAACCTCGTTATCATAACCAGCTAGGTAACCGGTACTAGCCCTCTACGATTCAAATTATTATTTGAATCTACGACCCACTTCGGTGAAAACTATACAGTCAAAAATAAAGTTCAGTAACTACGGCCTGACCACGGACTTCGACGCAGTAGTCAAAATGAAGAATGTAGAAGACTTACTGCTTCAGTCGGTTAATCAATTTCATTCAACCTTCGCAAATGCAAGAACGAACTCTAACCACCCATACGGACACAAGTAAAGCAACCTGCAATGCACTTAAGACAGCGCGTATGACTACGACCTGTAAACCAGTTAACACCATGGTAAGCGGATAAACCAATGCTATTGACAAAGTTACGAGGCCAACCGCAACTGCTGACATCGCTCATATTGAGCTTAACTATACCACTCTCATATTCTTCTAAGTTGAAAAGAACGCATAGCGGTACCGTATTTCTATTGGTTGGCTAGAGGAAACTCGATTAAATGCCGTGGCACCAAAGAGTATGTACTGACGACAGGAGTCATTCCCCATCGTTCTATGGGGGAACCTATAAAACGCAACACCTCAAATGACGTACGAAACTAGCTAATTAAGAGCGCTTACTTGCCAGGCAACACAAATAGCCTATTTCTGGATTTTATTGTTCCTAGTTTAAAGAGGGGGCAAACAGTTGCACAGCAAGCGGATCAAATAGCACAAGGTTTACTTTTTGAGGTAAATGGCTGTGCTGTGCTTAAATTCATGCGAACAGTGCGAAAGCTTGACGGGTGAAGCACACTTTGAACTTTCACTAACTCACAGACAACAGCGGTCGAGAGATAAGCCTGTGCCGCCCCCTCAAAAGCGCCGTAAGTTATCAGTCTGTGTCAATGCCAAAACTCGACAGTAGAATACAGTCGTCAAACTAATAACTCGTTCTTAAGTTAAACCTTTGCTCCATGCTGGAACAAAAAGAACACAATCAAACCCATTCACTGGTACTTAAAAGGTGTGCATGAGTTTGCTTGGGGTAAAAAACAAGGGGCTTTTCGAGACAAAGTAGAGTTCCCCGAAGTACATTTTGACGAAGTACAGACGCCATTTATAGAAAAGTCGCCAACAGCCAACGAGAAGCCCCCCAAATCGTGTTTTTGGTATATTTATGAGGAAGACGACCAAATTTTATTACTTTGGTTTAGGAACAAATCATTAGTGTAGTTAGTGTCATTCGTAATGACAGTCATGATGAACCTTATGAGAAGTGCAGACTCATATGTACACTTTTATTGCTATTGGATTATCC